GTCTTAATTAAGGACTTAAAACTGGAAACTGAGCCAGCAGTCTTGATATCATGAGGCAAAGAATTCCATAAATAAGGGGCAGCATAATAAAATGCTTTGATTGACAGCAGAGATAAAACAAATATTATCTAACAGTTTGCAAACTAAATTTGCATGATATTGAAAACTACTATCATGATAATAATTACACCTAATTGAAAAAATTTTGGGTTCAAGAAAAGGTTATATAATCAAAGCTAAGACCGAAGGGGAGCATGGGAAGACAAACATTTTATGCATCATGGCTTTGGCATGTTGTTAATCTAGGTCGACCGACTCAAGTTCTACTGTGAATTTTTTCATGTCTATATGCAAATATAATACACATTTTGGAGTACCCAAAATCCTTTTCGGTCTTAGCTTTGATTATATGACCTTCTCGAACCAGACTACATTTTTTCAATTAGGTGTATACAATCATGTATGATTATATGACGCGTGAATTCAAAAACCATACATACCCTATCCAGCGGCACATACCTGTATAGCAAATACATGGGAGTACTGCTGCCCCCCAGGTATCATGTGCAATATGACTTTGTGAACTCAATGGTAATTCCTTTTTATTTTAGTTATTCAAAGAATGCAAGTGCATACAGAAGATACTAGAAAATTGGGAAGATTCAGATCCTGAAATGTAAGCTAACAAAATCACTCCAGTCTTGATTATTATCACTAGGAGCACTTAAATTAGACAGTGGCACCAAACCTGTGACTCACATTTGATGATTGAATTTGAGGGAGGACTACCAGATCTTTGGAGCACAGAAAAGAAGCAACTCTATGCACTTATGATTGCAAGTTTGAACCTAAGATCACAGCAGTGAGATGTGGTCCATTGGCAGAATATTCCGTTTCTGCTTCCAAAGATCTTTGATTTGTTATAGCAATATCCATTCCTAATCTGAATCCTCATGAATAATTATATTGTACATGGTGGTACATGGGGGGTACATGGTGCAAAATTAATGCTAATTGATATATTGTTTTTTTGACAGAACCCAGTCGCAGGCACGGCATAGGGGATACATGGGACACCTCTCAAACATTGCTAATTATGTAGTCTATGCAAGAGAGAAGGGCAAAAATAAGGACGTCATAGAAAGTGTTTTGAATGGTAAGAATTCTCATTCCCACTATGATCTAAGTCTGTAAGGCCAAACAAAAAAATAAGTGTGTTTCCTGTTGCATGAGAAAAATAATTGGGTCGGCAGGTCAGATTTTTTTACTGATACAACAGTGGAAATGAGCTTACTGGGAACCCTGTGGTGCATTTGGGAATGAAAAGAATATTGGGGTCTGAAAATGTTGGCAAAAAATTTAGGGTCAGTCGCACAACAGGAAACACACTTATTTTTTTGTTTGGCCCAAACAAAGTATGCCAGAGCTAAAACTAATGTCATGTCTACAGGTGACTGAGCAGCCATTTTGAATTATTTTTAGCCCTGTGTTTAAGGGTGTTAAATATATTATTTTTATGTTCTGTAGAAATACCAGAAAAGGACAGAGAAAAGTGGAATTCATTTGTGTCTGGTACACTGGCTGAGATAAACAAGACAARTTCTTCAGATCTGGTAAATTATTGGAAAAAAATTTTTTTTTTAATTATCTTTCCTTTGGAATATTAAATTTTAGTCTGCGAATTGTTTGATTCTGTGATTTTTTTGAAGAGAAATTTTGTAACATTTTGTCGTTTACTACTAGGTTGGTCATCATCCACTACAGTCATCATCAGATGATGATGACGATTATAAACCTGTACCATTTTTACACAGTGAAAACTCTCTCCAACAGGTGAGCACCATTTCTGTTGCATTCCTATTTTCCCATTCCATTCCTATTCCATTCCCATAACATCCCCACTCAATTTCCATTCCATTCCCATAGCAATCCCATTCCTTTCCCATTTTATTTCCATAACATTCCCATTCCATTTCCATAGCATTTCCATTCCTTTCCCATTTTATTTCCATAACATTCCCATTCCATTTCCATAGCAATCCCATTCTATTCCCATAACATTTCCATTCCATTTCCATAGCAATCCCATTCCATTCCCTTTCACTTCCCCCAATATTTAAGAAGGGGTCTATAATGTTGAGAAGGATTGCAGGCTGTGTAGCCAGCAGGATTATGTTTTATCACACCCTTCAATAGGTCTTCTCCAACTATCAAATGCAGCAAATGACGACAGTCTTTGTGGACACATTTGGCTCAGATGAAGATAATTTCCAAGAGCCTGATGATTCTCTAACGTAAGTCTTAAATTTATGATTGCTGGCGTTTATTGGATTATTAGTTAGGGGGAGTCAGGAGGGGGTGGTGCCAAAAAGCTCGTCTCTCACCTCTGAGGACCGGGGTTTGAATCCCAGTCGTGTGCTCCATGTGAGCTGATTGGTTGGTTCTCTTTCTGACTCCTAGGGTTTTTCCGGTCCTCCGGATTTTCTTCCCTCCTATAAAATCAACCTTAACTTATTCACTGGTTAGAGCTGTGCTCTGGGGTCATACATGGCCTGTATAGCAGCTGCCCCAGAGGCGCCTTCACATGCTTTGAGCTTGTCCTCGTTAATCTGTGCCACTGCTGTACTTGCAGTGGTGATTAGCAATGACGAGATGCAAGAAATTGAACAGGGGAAAATGTTAGTGAGGAAAACATTTTAAAGGAAGAAAATGAGGATATATATTGGTTGTGGTTGCAAAAATTCATAAAATAATGTAAAAGCATTTAAAAGATTTTGTTATGATTTTTATATTTTTAGTTCACAATTCAACAAGATTGGTGATATCAGTTTCAACATCAATGCAAATGAAGAAAACGTGAGTAAAATTTCTGGATGCAAAATTTCTTAATTTCATTTACCTTCTTTTGGATAATCTTTGGATTCTTGGATGACCAATTCAAATGGCGGTCCCATCTCTTCACACTTCATTATTACTAACCATTATTGGAGGGACGTAAAAGAACCACTGAGGTCGTAAAGAAACCCTGGCAGTGACCACCCTCATCGCCTACACCTCATACTATAAACCATCTCATGATTGTAAATTGCACTAAAAAGCAATCTGACATTGACAACTCTATGTAAATCACCTTTGATTATATCTATATATAGAAAGGGTGCTATTATATATAAATCATTAATCAATATTATTATTTTCATTAAATCATCTTTAATTTTAGCCAAATTCAGCCTTATTTGAAGCATGCTGCAATGAAAGAATACAGCAGTTTGATGATAGTGGCAGTGACGAAGAGGTAGGCATATTAATAGAACCACAGTAAATGATGTATAAATGCATAAATCGAAACCCATAAATCTATATTCACAGTAGGCAAGCTGATCAGCTCCTCTTAAATGGACTTTAGAAATTTAACTGATAATCAAAAATAAAGAGCAAGCATTGACTGCAGAAAATTGTCTTTCAGGATGTCTGGGAGGAAAAGGAATTAAAGTTTTCTTCAGTTATTGAAAACAGAAAAAGGTAAGAATAACAAGGTACAATAGACTATTTCACAGATCCCGTGGCTCAACCTCAGCCTCGTCAGCGTGTAATATATTCTTTAGAAATTGCCTACAACCTGTGAAATTTTTAAGTGTTTCAATTGTTCATTGATGTGCAAATTCCTTTCATTACTGCGGACTGTAGTCAAATTCTAAAGAATAATTACACAATGACGAGGCTGAGGTTGAGTAACGGGATCTGTGAAATGGCCTATTGGTGCTTTGAATTGCCCTATAAACACTATGATGTCAATCAAAACAATCTATTGTTCTAACACTAAGGATCATGGTCGCCAGAGGGGGACAAAATAGACCCAGCACACATGAAATCATAATAAAATTCGTTTTATGAGAAAGTGAAAAGTAAGAACAACTAAATATTGCATCAAATATTTCAAATTAAAAATGATTGAACCTAAATTCCTGTTATTCTTGCCCATGTAAACAAGCCGTGACAACATAGTGTTATAGGGCAATTAATTAAAGATGCTTATCACATACAGGGCAAAATTACTTGATGGTGATTGACTAATGAAGGAGGGCTTTTTTCCATAATTCGCGGGGCTGAATTACTAGATTATGATTGGTAGTTCAGTTGCCTAGCAACACTTGCTGCAACTGTAAACTTTTCTTTTTTGCAAGCCAAAAGGGCTTCATGTTTTCTTCAGGATCAATGAAAGTGTACAGGCATTATATTGGTTTCAAGACAGATTTTTTCGTTGAATTTTGCCCTATATATGATAAACGGGTAATTGTATGGTTCCTCGTAAGATTAAGGATTAATTTTACTCGTGTTTTCAAATGTCCTAACTTTAAGCTATTTCACCTACAACCTCTCTATTTTTCTGTAAATTTCAAGTATGCTGTCTGATAGTGACAGTGAAAGCAGTGGTAGTGAGGAAGAGGAAGAAGAAGGAGAAGGGAGACAATCACCACAGCAGCAAAGCACTGGTAGCTCAGGCAGTGATGATGACCGCATTGTATTTTCTGATGATGTCAAGACACCTCCTGAATCACCGGCCAAGAAACCACCATGGAGTGACAACAAGATGGACGTTGACACAGCCAACAGTGAGTAACCTCTAGAACAAATATATAACCATGCTAACCACGCTATAACCATGTTCTGCAATATTAAGATTCCATACCATTGATACCATTGACAGGTCAAACAATATGTCTCTGGCCTGACAAATCATCTGCTTACCAATATAAATTATACATATATATATATATTTGCAGCATTGTAATTGGTTCGTGTGCATTTGCATGAAATAAAAACCTAAAGTTGTTTCAGATAACCCTGGTGACTATTACTAAGGTTTTACCAGGAATTTTAGCAAAGGGGGGGATGACAAGTTGCCTATTTTACCACCCCTAAATCTACCCCTGCTCTTTTTAACAATCTGTGACGTCATAGTGAAATAGGGCAATTGTTTTGATCTTTTCTTTTTCTTGATCTTTTTCAGCTTGGAGTGATTTTAACAACTCCAGTGAAGTAGCAATGGATGAGTCTGTTTCGATTGATGCAGCGGATGTTGGCTGGGATAAAGCAGGAAATACAGTGTCAGATACAGGATGGGCTAATTTTGATAACTTCACTGACATTGGAATGGCTGCCTCTACCACGTAAGCAATAGGATATTATATAAACTATGTGTTCTCAGGCCAAACAAAAAAAATAAGTGTTTCCTGTTGCATGTTCGACCCTTATTTTCTTGCCGATTTTTACCGACCCTAATATTTTTCCATTCCCAAATGCACCACAGGGTTTCCAGTAAGCTAATTTCCACTGTTGTATCAATACAAAAATAAAATAAAATAAAAAATAAAATAAAAAATCTGACCTACTGACCCCAATTATTTTTCTCATGCAACAGGAAACACACTTTTTTTTTTTTGTTTGGCCAAGTCATCATATATGCCAAAAGTGATTTAATGTTTCAATTGGTTCAACTCATGGGCAGTAATCACGGATGTTTCGTTCATAAAAATTGTAGACATTAGGTTCCAGGCTACGGTAAGCGCGCGCTTGCTCTTCCGATTCGCATGAAAACGAGGCTTTTCAAAATGGACGGCAACGAAGTTGTGCGGTTTGAGAAGTCTCAAGAAATCCTTCTTTTAGTGACTATAATATGAAGCGATTTTGACATGGCCTTTAACTATTTTGAGATTGATGTCCAATGAAGGTCTGGGGATGGTTTTAGAAAAGGAAGCAGTCGTTTATTTCCTGGATGTTTGAAAGTCTCGCTCGTGGAAGAAAATGGCGGCTATGAAATTATCCATTATCTCTTTGAAACCGTCAAAAATATGCGATTTCTTGACAGGATCGGAAGTTTTCCCAGATTCAGGTAAGCATTAATCGTATTAGGTATTCAGTTGGTGTGCTGTATTTACAATTCATATTCTACTAACATTTTTTTTACAAAGATTTATGTACTATTATTTTTATCTGTAATTCTAAACCACAAAGACGATCATTCCTTCGATCTGTTTTCCCGCCCTGGGAATTGCCACGCGCGTCATTTTTGTTTTTCCCGCCATTAAACTTCAAGCTCGAAGGTTTTTAACAGTAATATCGGTTGTCTTTGGTTGATAATGGCCGCGGAAAAGTACAAGGATATTTCTTGGAAAAACTATAAAAGTCTCCCGAAAGAGGAAAAAATGGAGGCCTTTTGGTACTTCATGCGAAAGGGGTAAGTACAAAGTCATTATYCTCARCTCTTGTTTATGTGTTAGTTATGCAACCTTGTTTTTCCTGAAACAAAATCAAGTTAAGATTAAGTTAACATACTAAAATTGTCTATTTTTTAGAACAAGACCAAAGCACGAACTAGAATATGATGAAAAGGAATTGTAAGAAAATATCTGTAAATTGTTTGTGTGCATACTGTAAGCTTAAAATAATTATTGATGTATCCATAATTGTTTCGTTGACAAACCTATATGCTAATTAGATTCAGTGTCAATTTTTCGTTGGTATAAACATAATTTAATTAAATATTGCAAATGTTTAGCTGTTCTTTATTGTTATATGTCATAGAACTGAAGAGGGRAAAAAAGCTGAAGATGAGAAGCAATTGAAGAGGAGGATGGATTTGAAGAGGCGGCTAAAGGAGGAGAAAAAGAAGAAAGAGGAGAAATCTAAGGAAAAGAAAATAAAATTGTGAAGACCTTAAAAGCAAACTCCCTTTTTTTGTGTTATTACTGGCTGTAATTTTACGTACATTGTTCTTTGCAAATCTTCCTTGTTTTCTTTAGGGGTACTTTGCTTATATTGTCAGGATGGCATCTTCTGTGATGTTCCTCAAGCATATATTTTRCCTAATAATAATAAAATAATAAATTTTATTTATATAGCCCACATGTCTTGAAATTTAAGGTGTTTTACCTGGTCCACACGGTTTCTCACACTTGAGTATGTACGTTTTAACTCATTGAATGAGTGATGTATGGACTCGATGCCTTGCTCCCCAAGTAAACCTACTCCTGTGTTGTATTTCCTAACCCAGCTAACCATGTGATCTTCTAAAAAGTGTAGCTTGGGGAAGATGCTTGCTGACGGAAAAAAGTGGCGATATAGTGCCAAAAATGTTTTGATATCTGATTCTGCAACCAAAGTAAAATAGTTACATGCATGTKTTTGAATGTCTCCATCAATAAGAATAATTTCATAATGACCATGTCAGCWACTGTCCCTACCTAGTTTAGTTATTTCTTCATCACTAAGTTTGACAGCTTTGTTCATAGTCTTGTGTACATTGTTGTAAGAATTAAGCACTTGAGAGAACTGATCTTGAACCATTTCAGCTTCCCATAACTCAATGCCAAGCTCACTGCATACTTCAACTGCAACACTTGAGAGCAAATTGATGTTTTTGGCCTTTAGGAGTAAAGAAAAATAGTAAAATAGATGAGACACTTWATGCTCATATATATACTATGCACTAACTAAAACTGCACGCTTACTAGATATACAACGCTTCATTTTTTTGGGCAATACCTTAAGACATTTATCAGTATGATTTCCGTTAAAGCTTCCACCATGGTACGATTGTCTCTCTGCCCCGATTTCTTTGAGAACTTTTTCTAGTTTCTTTGCGCATGGTCCATCTCCAATTTTTAGTTTTGAAGTCTTTGCCTGTAATTCTGCTTGTCTGTTCTAAAAATGAATCGTAAATATTACTTTTTGATACTGAAGCAATTTATACAATGATTATTTTTAAATTTGATGTCAAATGATAAAAAATCCCTTATATTAAAAATAAACATTGCTCCAAATACGATTTGGATGATACAATAATTATCTCATTCTACTTAAAGCAACTTACCAGTTCATCAGCTTGATGGCGTAACTCATCAGCTCTTTTAAAGATGTTTTCACTGTCTTTGTCTCCATCAGTGGAATTCAGTAATGAAAACATTGCATCATGTTCACAAGCTAATTTGTACAAATGTATGTTAAAGAATATTAACTATTTATATTTAGCATGTATGCTGAGTTGTATGCATGTGTATTTATTACAGACATTACCTCTTGCCTCTTCAATCAAAGTGCTTTCTTTCAGTTTTGTTTCTTCATACAATGACAATGACTTTACAAAATCTTGAAAAGCATCACACCCAGTCTACATGTCAGCATTGAAAATTATTAGTTTATACAATTTTGTTGATGTGTATGTGATATTACAAATAAACAAAAAGGCTATCAAACTGAAAATAATTACTCCTATCAAACCATACTTTATTGTTTGATTTTGCTAGATCATCAGCTACCAGTAAATCCACTTTGTGAAGTGCTTGTCGGAGGAGGTCATACAGCCTATTGAAAACACCAATGCTGATATGCAAACCAGGTAAACAAACCTAAGATTGTATAAATATATAAAGTTGAAAGTTGTGATTTTGGTCT